GTAAGCCATGTAGTTAGTTAGTTAGTTGTGTTCTTTTGGGTTGTGGTCTTCTCCTCCTGACAATTTAGTCTTATGTAGGTGGTTACTAGTGTTTCAGAGGAACATACTGCCTCCGTCTTGAAGGTACACTACCTCAAATGTAGTGGTTGTATGTTCTCTGGAATATTGATAACCACGTATAAGACTGGTGTCACATCCCAGAAGATCACAGTCTGGTAAAAATATCAACATTCCTTAGTTTTTGTTTATTTTAATTTTAAATTATATGATCAGTGCTGTTACACTTAAAATGCTGTAAAGCAAATTGAGAAGATGCTGATTAGAAAGAGCAGTTGTTCAATTTCAGAGAGTGAATGTGATGTTGGAGTCGCCAACAGGCACAGGCAAAACTCTGAGCCTTTTATGTTCTTCTCTTAGCTGGCTTACCATGAAGAAGGCCCAGCAACAGGCAGAGTCCCTAGGACTGTACAATCTTCCAGATGGTGCCTTTGTGACTGGGCTGCAGAATAAACTGAGGGAGGCAGAAGGCCCTTTGAACACAGCTAGGACTGGTGCCTCATCATGGGATTCTGGTAACCTCCAGTATATTCAATTGGAGATGAACATTTATAAGAACTTATGACATGTAGTTTCAAAAGCTCTTAATTGGTATGGTGAGGTGAAAAAGTAAAAGTTTGTAGCACAACTTCCTTCGGAGGGAAAGTAAAGTCAGCGGTCCTATGTCGTAGATTTACAGCATGTAAAATCACCTTACGAACATGAACGAGATGTTTGGTAAGCAAAATTCAGTAGCCATTTCTCACCCAAGTCTCTCCTGATTTACTACTAGATGGCTGTAGTAGATAAATCAGGATTGAGTAGAAATTGTGCAGCGGCAGTGGGCTTGTCACCTACTACTCATAAATGCACACTTCAAAGACAAAGAAACCTCCCACATGGGAGGAGGCCAAGGCTCAACATCAGGCTGTTGCACCATAGAAAGAAAGAAGAGGTGAAGATGTACTTTGTGTTAGGAACTGTAAAATTTAGTGATTAATTTCTGTGCATAATTTTCACTTCGTATTTACATTCTGAACTTGAAATTTATAAATATCATATAACGTTGAACATTATCATTAGTTATTGTTAAAAAAAAATAGTTATTGTCATCACGCAGAAAGTTGAATATAGATTTTATGGAGCCATCATGTTTATTGTTTACAAAAAAGTATTATATAGACTAAGATTCCATGTTATTTTAAAGAATTGTAGAGTCCTTTAATAAGCACAGCACTAATCCCATGTTACAAGTTGTTCTAGCCACTGTGCTGTTATAACTGATGACAGGAAATTAAAGTGTAGGATTTGAGGTTTTCACGGCGATGAGTCTGAAGATGGCAGTCTTATAGGTCATTGCGCCGTGTAGTCTGGTAGAAGTTTACCAGACTACGTGGCGAAGACAGCCATCACAGTACAAAAGTGGATTGGCCATAGTGGCATATTTATACACATAAATTTTGTTCTTGTTAGTAATATCTTTATCTGCTAATTTTGAGAGAATTTGGGACATATTAATTATCAAGGTATGTTGGTTTTCTGGGTAGTAATGAACTCATAAGTAGATTTGTTCAGTCCTGAAGATGGAGACATTGTGTTCCTGTGTAATGGTAGCTGTACACTTATGACACATGGCCAGCTGGATTTTGCATAAGCTGTAATGCATGAGTGATACATGTTAACAGAATGTGATTGACAAAATAACATTTCCCTAAGTAATAGAATGTCCATCTCTTTTAGTAATTTTTTAGTATTTTTGCCACAGGGTTGCAGCAGAGACTGAAGAAAATAAGGTGCTTAATGAGAAGCTGAGTGATTTGTAATGTTCACAAGAAAATACTGGGCTAGTAGTCTTGAAGGTGATGAGATAAATAAGATGCATGGAAGGGGTTGGAAAGCCTGAATACAAGAGTTTATTTTGGAAATCAATGTATAGATGGGAGGATAATATTAAATTAATCTCACAGAAATACAGTTTGAGGATGTGGACTGGTTTAACTTGGTTTGGGATGGGGTTCAATAACATGCTTTTGTGAATATCATAGTGAACCTTTGGATTCCAGAAAAGCCATGGAATTATGTTACATTCTAAGCAACTGTAAGCTTCTGAAGAAATGGCTCATGGAATTAGTCATATAGAGTTGTATCCGATCTCACAGTTTAATAATTTAATGAGTAAATACCTGAACTCATTGTAAAGAGAGCATAATAACATAGTGACTTTTTAAAGACCTATACCCCTTGTGTTTCTAGGCAATACGCAGGTTATCTATGCCTCACGGACACACTCGCAGTTGTCACAAGCCATTCAGGAACTGAAGTAAACTGGCAATGTGAACACGAAGGTGGCAGTTCTTGGTTCTCGGGACCAGATGTGCATCCATCCTTAAGTGTCAAAAAAGGAAAACAATATTGCAAAGGTCAATTTAGAATCTGCTTTGAAAAGAAATTTAAAAAATGTGTAAGATTGTAATTTTGAATTGATGTTTTAAGAGGAATTGATGTTTTAGAGATGAGTCATGGAAGAATTGAAGGTTGTTTCCTTGTAAATCTTCTTCCATTTTTAAATCATCACCACTGTAGCAACCAATCTGAGTAAGCCTCTGTAATTTTGATGTGTACAAAGCAATTAAAGCTGTTTTATACCATTACCAAATATGTTTAACATAAGAATAAATACAAACTGTAGGTACAGTTTGTATACAAATTTTGGGCAAATGGTAATAAGCATTTGGAACTTAAGGTAGTGCACTTGACTTCAGTCTTTAGCTTGGATATACTAATGCAAAGATTTTTTTTTGTTTCCAGAAAGTGATCATGACAGTCCATATGTCAGAAGATCAATGTTTTAAATTCTGAGTTTTATGTGTTATATTTATTAGAGTAATGTGTAATTATTTATCTTCATATGCACAAATGTCTGGCATATAACAGGAGCCATTCATGCTGTTAAGAATCCAGAATAAGAGGTTCACAATTTCCATATCTGAAATTCTAATATTTGGTCTTCAAATTTTAACCTTTATTAGAATCTAACACAACCTGATTTAATCTAAATCAACGAGACCTGACTACACCTGACGGACGTACCTTACTTTCTTACTCCATAAACCTGAACCTTCCTGAGAAGCCAACAGTCTCTCTGCCACTCAAAAAATGTGTTCACAATATCCCGCCACTGGTCACTATCGTGAGCCATAAGATTCCAATCCATACTACCCATCGTATTTCTCTAAGGTCCTTTTTAATATTATCATCCTACTTACATCTACGTTTTTCTATTGTTTTTCTATTGTTTATATATCTGTCGAGGAGTACCATTTATGAAGCTCCACAATGTTTCCTATAGAATATTGTTTCAAGAACGGAGATCCGTTTATGTTTGTGTTATCGTGTGATGTAACAAGGTATAGTCTTGAAGGTTGCTACCAACATTTCGGAGGAACATACTACATTCATATTTACGGTGAAAGGCAGTATGCCACTCAGAGAAGTTCGTAAACACCTACAAGCCTACACTGTGTCACATCTCAGAAGGGAAGAATGCATTTTCGCCATTGCTTTTAAACTATTATTGGAATTCTTTATTAAGAACGTCAAAGGAAACCCATAAACACTAAAATACAATGGGGACAGTAGCTTCTGGTCTGAGTTGATCGTGTTGATGTACTAGGTAAATAAATAAGCGCATTAAAGAACGCAGACACACTATTAAATGCTATAAACGGGGTCTGAAGAAGTGAATGAAGACAACTTGAACTTGCTTGGCTTGACTCAAGAATGAAGGATACATTTCTAATGTAATAATATATAATAAATGATATTAAAATGCCTTCTACCTACGAGGGTTACTTCAAAAGTCATGGCAACTAATTTTGAGGTAAAACACGTTATATTGAAGAAAGTTCGTATGAAAGGGCACGATATACTATATATATACATACTATACAGGATGATTATAAAAGGACTTTACAACTTTGAAAGTGTATAGAAATTTATTCAGAAGGCTTACAGAATCGGTTGAGGTGTCATTTTGTAGCAAACCAAATCAAGGTTTACCTCAAACAGTCATTTTGGTTCGATGTGATTGCCATTGGTGATACTGCAGACATCCCACCTGAAATCAATTTCTTGCCAAACACGATCCAGCATATCCGGTGTCACTTCTGCAACTGCGGCGGTGATTCGAGCTTTGAGCTCAGTGAGATTGGCAGATAAGGGTGGAACAAACACACGATCTTTAATGAAACCCCATAAGAAAAAATCGAGAGTTGTCAAATCTGGAGAACGAGGTGGCCATGCTATCGACTCTGTTCGACCAATCCCCCGACTTTGAAAACGGTTATTGAGGAAATCCCGGACTTCTGTGAGGTAGTGCGCCGTCTTGCTGGAAGTGTCTGCGTCTAGACAGGCCCTGGGGCCCACCAAATTTCACATTGTGAGCACATATAAATGTCTTCTACAAAATTATCAGCAAAGTTTTCACACTTGTTAAGATATCAATTAAGGCAGAAAAAACAATGAATCCATTTTTCCCCGTGCTTTTCTTTAGGTCATATTCATAATCCCGCCCGCATACAGAGCAAGCAGAATTATCGTCATTCACTGTTGTCTCGTTTTGTCTTGTTTACGTTTCTTGGATCTGCGTCTGTTCATGCAGTCAGGACCATCTTCATAATTAACTGAAGAGGAAGTCGAGGCTGCAGGATGGACCACTGTCAAGGTTCGCTGAAGGGGATTGGTGTGGACTTGGCAGACTGTTTTCTGGAGAGTGATTCGCGTGCTGGGTGGATCAATGGTTGGAATGTGCATGATTGGTTCATCATTTTGATTATATTCCGTCTGATTTCTGCCGGAAACTGTAGATGGCGCTGTTGCCTCTGGAGGAATTTCATTCCTGTTCAACGGACTGATACCCGATTTTCGGAATCCAGCTTTGATGACTTTTGGTGTGAAACTCTGTTTGTGGCTGGGGTTTAACAGTGAATGGAAAGTGTAACGGCTGTGTTTTTTTTCCGGGGTCCCTCCTCATAGTCTACGTGCATCTATTTCATTTTTCCAAGCTGCCGTTAAGGAACCATAAACACCAACATCTAGAAGTTGGAGCACGTGAGTTGTATGTGACGGAAATGTTAGAATTATGATTGATTTTCTTCGGCAATCTGCAGAGCCTCTGGTGACAGGTGGGATACATGAGAGTTCATAAGAAAGAGAATTTGCCGAGCTAGAGGCAGAGATTTGATGAACTGTTCCAACCATTTCTGGAAAGGTTCGCTTGTAATCCAGCCTTTTGGACTGACTCCAACTGTAGCATCCAGATGAGCGCCATCTATAAACGCTGGGATGTTCTGCACGCCTTTGAATATTATCAGGACCGCACCAAATTTTCCAGCAGCATTTGCACAGCATAAAGCCGTTGTAGTACCTCGCTCTGCGCAAACACTTCCATAAACATATTTTTTACCAACGCTTCTAACTATTTTGGATCCAGAGGTCACAAACATGAATCCGGTTTCGTCATAATTCCACATTCTATCAGGGCATTTCCTCAGATCATGTTCATCAAGGACTTTCTCCAGCAGTCATAGAAAGCCTGTATCAACATGGGATTTGCACAGGAGGCACGATAAAATGACAAACTTTCCGGTCGCCTAGGAGTCAAATTGAATCTTTCCTGAAACCGTTTGTATCACTTTTTACCAGCTACCCTTTCCTCGGGATTATATCTTTCAGCGGTAACATTTTTGTGCTAATCTATGTGCTAGGCTCCTGGCCTGAAAAACCGTTAGTCAAAACCAAGTTCCTGCATTCGTATCACATATTTTTCAAGTTTTAATTCTACGTCAGAAGACACAGCAAATGGCCTGCCAACTTTCCCTATTTCGAACTTTTTTAGATCGTTGCACCAGCCATCAAAATGTTCGCTTGCCTCGACAACGTTGTCTTTGTGTCGACCACGGAACTTTGTAGTATTTGGAGGCTCTGTATAGAGTCAAGTCTTCTTGTAAAAATTTCCTTACAGCTATTTCCAATGTTCTACTATTATACTCCTCGGAGGGGACATGCTTAGTTTCTGCAACTTTACTAGGTTTCTTGTTTTTCTTGTCCATATCACAACAGGTGGAAAAACGTCAGCAAATATTGTTAGAAGTGTCCAAATTTTGTACAAAAATGTTGGAGAAATGGTCAGAAAATCGCTTACTAGCGAGAGAAAACATATTTAACTTAAATATACGGCTTATAATATTTGTACAGAGACGTGTCTCTCTGACGCCATGATGCAAAGCCACAAAAAAAGAAAATAAATAGCGAAACTGGAAAGGTTCTAGACCACTCGATAGCAAGCTGAGTCAAAAGCCCTACATATATCAGATCTCTGCATAGTTTTGGATTAGATGTGATTGTATTTACCTCTTTAATTTAGAAGTTTTCAAAACTACAAGCACGCCACACACATGCGGCGATCACAGACGCTTCTGATAAAAGTCTTGTTCAGTTCCTTTTCATGCCATAGTAGCGCGATATAAGACATACCATTCAAACGGTACATCTTGTACCATCTGTTGATTGGAAATTGAACATTCCTACATGGTCCCTAACTCCGTAATACTGCTCGGAAAAATGTATCACGGAATTAGGGATATCACGAAAATAGGCAACTTTACCCCACATGGCTGGTAGCAGGATAGCTTACTTAGTCCATCCTTTAGAGAGATTTTCATGAAGGTCTGTTGGTTATTTAAGCCTAAGTACTTGTAGCATTTCTGAAGTTTGATATGTATTAATATTCTATAGTTAATTTAGTTAAAAAGTGTATTTTGGGAGGGGGTATAATCACTCGCCAAATCCCCGAGTTGCAACTGAATTTTTATTCGTACTATCGAAATTTTACAGTTACTGACGTTATTGGAGATTACTGCTAACTAATTTTTATTCATTTACAGTATTTACCTTTCGTATCTTAGTATTAATTATTAGTGAAATAAATAAACAAGGGTTATCAGTGAATATTACGATACAGACTTAAAAATGAGGATGGATGTCTTCTGGGTTGTTGCTCCGCATAGCATGGTAGAAGTAGAGGCCTCATATTCCTGATGATAGAAGCAGCAAGGACCTTTGAAACTTTTAAATTTCTACAAGACTACACGGCACAACAACCCAGAACACATCCATGTTCAAAAGAAAGTTTCTCAGCAATTCCTTTCAAAAGCATTCATAATCATTTTGGACAGGTGATGATGGGTAAACCTGAACGAAAAATATATTTCCATTACCGACATTTGTATTGAACCTCGTGAATTCAATTTACAACTTATTTAATTTATTATAAATGATGTGTAACAAGCAATAATACTTAAGTTTATATTTACTATCCAGATTTGCTACTTTTACAAGAAAATAAATATTTTACAGAACAGTTGGTACTTGTATCTTGATTGGTGACGTCAAAAGTGATTCTGAAGTGAAATGTTATATCCATGTCTTGTCACAAGTCGCTAATCGCTTCAGAAATGGATTTCCCTCCAGTTCAGACGGTTGTCGTACACAAAAATACTGTGTTTATGTACAGTATGGGTGGTATTGCTGTCTATAAGACAGACAAATGTTCATAATTTAAATCAATATATTATATTCAGAATGCTGACTCTGAAGAAATTTACTTTTATATTCAAATTTGTAAAATAGTGAGTTCTGGGTTTGATCTAATGACATGCACACAAAAAATAGTACTTATTATAATTTACACCAGTTTAAAATATTTTTTGCAGATTTCAAGGGAGACATTCTTGTGGCACAAGCTGCAATATTCTTCACTGCAGGTTTTGAGGCTAATGCTGCAACGATAGCCTTCATACTCTATGAGTTGGCAATGCAGCCTCATCTACAAACCAGACTGCGAGAAGAGGTTCTAGATGCTATGGACAAAAATGAGGGGACGCTGACATACGACGGTGTTAGAGACATGGAGTACCTCCACATGGTGGTTTCAGGTACACAGATTTCTAGAACAGGGGTTCTCACCCTTTCTTGCTGTCGTACCACTAATTCTAATTTGACACATTAAATGTACCATTAACCAAATGCGTTCAGGGAAAACTTATTTATGTTGATATTATCTTTTGATTCTCTTACTTAGTTCGAGTGCCACTTAACATTGATTCGCGCACCACCAGTGATATGCGTACCATAGGTTGAGAAACGCTGTTCTAGAGCATGAATGGTGCACCTTTAGCACAAATGATGTAAATTACAAGTAAAATTGTTTTGATTGGTGTTATAGAATAACTTAGTCAGTGATGGTAAAGTGGTCTGGGTAAAAAGCTGTTCGAGGATATTACTGTACCTTAAAGGGGGATAAATTTTTTCCAGATCACTCTTAGAATTAGCTTGTAGCTTGACCAGAGTGCCAGGATTACTTTTGAGACTGCTTACTTATTGTGGCAATACTTCAGGTTATAACATCACCATGACAGGTTCTCATCTACAGCAGATCGTGACTGGTCATTCCCAGGGCTTTGATGAATTTTGGATGTGGGTTAAAATTAAATTAACACCTAAAAATGTTGAGCTTTTAGAAAGTTCATAAAGGCTATGCAGAATTTTGTAAAACTAATGATTCAGTCTGTCAACAATTTTGGATATGTACCTTCTTGTTAAAAATTGTTTTCAAGTCACCAGAACAATTGAAATTTCATATAATTTATCTGATCCCATAGTTTTAATAATTCATGTCATTCATACAGTACAACTAGAACCTTATAATTGTTATTAATATAAACACAAATTAAACCTATTATGCCTCAAGTCTTCCAATGAATGAAAGGAAATCAAAATTATTATTATTATTATTTAGTTTTATACCAGCATTGTAATGTAATTCAACCATAGCGTTTCACAGAGATAAAGAAAATACAATTATATGTGTGCTGAAATTATATTAGTAAGAAATATAGAGGTAGAAAAACTTTAAAAAAAATAACAATAATAATATGAAGGTGAGGGAAATTGTAAAAGTTGAAAATGATGAATTTTTTCAATAAAATAGTTTGAAAGCACTGGAAATGAAGCCCCAATTTTTACTAGAATGGAAAAGTGTCCCTACTTAGGGCATGCAGGTTTATCATTGATAGTTTTACCCTTTTTTGACCTTTGCATGCCTGCATTCTTACAGGGCAGCTAGCTCAGGTTAGAGTCTGGTGGCAGGCTTTTGTGAACAGGATGTGGAACCTTTGGGTTCCATAAACAAAGTGGGCTATTCTTTGACAAGCTCAGTATTCAATTATCTTTTCGAAGAATATCCTGCACCATAGAGTGAGTGTGCATTCTTACAGGGTAATTACAGTAGATTCCGATTAATTGGGCCATCGGTTAATCGGGGCAGCCATTTATTTGGGACAAATCTTAAAGAACAACCCTTTTTAACTCTTTATGTGGAACTTCGCATAATTGGGGCAGCCGCTTAATTGGGCCAAAGTGTTCTAGTCCTGATGTGTCCCAATTAACCAGAATCCACTGTATTTAGATGCAGATACATATCTATGACCATGTGTAGTTTCATACCTCATTTTTGTGAGGCAGTATTTTGTGGTGCACAGTCACGAGTGTTTGATAAGTCAGCATATGCCACTGGTGAAAAATGGCTGTGGAATGCTGCTTTAGAACAATATCTCACAGAAAGCACCATAATTCGCCATTGTTAATGTTTATTAAAAACCGTGCAAGGAATTATTTCCTGTGTTTCAATTCCCAGTCAATTATGACTGCAGTTTGCAGCAACAGGATCTGCATGCAAGTCTGTGGAACAGTTTTAAATAATCTAAATTCTTTTTGTCAACAGAGGTAGTCCGAAAATATCCTCCAATGCCAATACTAGACAGAGTCCCGAATAGAGATTACGTTATCCCTGGTACCAACATTACCATTGAGAAGGGCACGGCAGTATATGTTCCCCTCTTGGGACTACACATGGACCCAGCGGTTTATCCAGGTCCAGAGCATTTTGATCCAGAGAGGTTCAGCGAGAAGAACAGGACAACTCGACATCCTTTCATGTATTTGCCGTTTGGAGAGGGGCCTAAGAACTGCATAGGTACGTGAAGTAATCAGTACTAGTTCTGAAGTTAATTATGTATAAAACTCCAGTATTCAAATACTTTTGTGAACAAATGTAGTCTAATAATATAAGTCAAGAATTATGGTAATATATTTTTAAACAACTTGTTCTCTCTTTACTGGAATTTCTGTATTAGATTGAGAACTGGGCAATATATGCGAAACTTTGAACCCAGTCCATGTATTGAGTACATATTATTTATAGTGTCTCGTGTTATGTGAACAAATATGTGTATTAACTTTATATATTCTAAATTTAGCAATGCACTGTATATGTTTTAGGTAAACTATTTGGACTTATTGCTGTGAAGCTGGGTATAGCGAGCATAATAGGAAAGTTCGAAGTGTCACCATGTGCTGAAACGCCACATTCTATGCACTTAAACCCCAAAGCTATGATATTGGCTGCCAAAGGAGGAATTCCTCTAAAATGCACCAGACTGAGTCAGTGATCGTATGTCTATTTGCTGTTTCATCTTTAAAATCTACTAGATAATGGTGGCTACTTAATTTGTCTGTTTCAGTTGTAACTGTTGTAACTGTGTTTTAACTTTCTCTACATTCATGCGATTTGTTGGTAATCTGGTTGTGTAGTTTTGTTATATCTCTAGGACCAAAATTCCTCCTCAACACCCTATTCTCAAACACCTGCAATCTGTGTACCTTCCTCAGAGTGAGAGACCATGTTTCGCACCCATACAAAACAACAGGCAAAATTATTGTTTTGTATATTTCAATCTTCAGGTCTTAGAAATCAGATGGGAAGGCAAAATATTTTGGACTGAGAAGTAGCTGGCAGTTCCAGAATTTAGTCTCCTCAAATAAGTAGCTAGCTGATTTAATAAACGTGTGGATTTAATCAGGAAAAGAAATCTATCCTCCTGGAATAAAAGGTGCATGCTAATATATATTGCAAAACCACGAAAGTTTAAAAAAATCGTGCATCCATCCCTTGAAAGAATTTCGCCATTCTGCAGATAGAAATATGACATCTACTAGTTAGGTAACTATGTAATTACAATTCCAACTCAGGTTAATACACGGACAAGACAATTCGAACCCTGCCACAATTAAATTGTGTCATGGCTCACAGTGTCGAATTGCTCTCAAGAGCTGTAGCCAGATTCCCAATACAAGTAGCCCTCGATTTGTGTGTGTTCCTGGAAGAAACCGGCGTAAATTGGAACGATTGTATAATGTAAACCAATAGGAAGTCATTGACATGCTTTCCCAGCACCCAAACATTGACGAGTAATATAATGGCATTACTTTTAAAGCTCTCAGATAACGTAAATAAAATAAAGGGAATTTAAAAAATATATTTTATACACTTACAATCGGCAATGGCGTGATGAAGCGGCGTTAGTTCGACTAAGTCCCTGGTTGAGGATCGTCATGTGTTTTAAAGAAGGCCTGCAGTGTGGACTGTCGTGGAATGTTGTCGATTTTTTAGGAGATTATCTCACAACTACTTAGCAATGAGTGAGTGCGCAATTCGTTGGTCCCCGCGATTGACTGTGATTGTACTGAAACCATCCTTAAATTTTACAATATAATGGCAGTTCCTTCAATACTTTATGGCGCAGAATGGTGGACCCTAACCAAACTACAAAAGCAACGAATAGAAGTAGCAGAGATTAAATTTCTAAGACCAATTGCAGGGTATAAAAGAACAGATCATATAAGAAATGACGATATTAGACGCGAATTAGGAACTTTTAACTTGTACGAATAGAAGTAGCAGAGATTAAATTTCTAAGACCAATTGCAGGGTATAAAAGAACAGATCATATAAGAAATGACGATATTAGACGCGAATTAGGAACTTTTAACTTGTTGGATAAAATATGTGAACATCAAAGACATTGGCTAATGCATATGGAGAGAATGGAAACCAATAAAATTCCACAAAAAAATATATAAATACAAACCTAAAGGCAAACGAGGCAAAGCCGCCCAGAACTTCTGTTAGCTAATTTCTTTTTTATTCCTAATTTTGTGATGTTCTTTAGTACAGGTTATGACATGCTGGCCAGCATGAACAGTTTAGTTTATATTTCTTAGCATCAGTGCTCCTGGACATGTTATACTTCTGATTTCATCTGGCAGTGACATGTATAAATTAAACAAATCTTTTTTAATGTGAAATTTGTATTATCACAGTCAATTTAACTTCAAAGTTTTTAGTGGTCTTACTGATGCACAAAGTGTTCCATGAACATAGAGCTGTGCAATAACTCAGATGGCTAGTTGTCAGCTTCTCACTGCAGAGGTCCAGGTTCACATCTAGTGGACAAAGTGGCACTGGGACAAGTTTTTCTCCAAGTTCTTTGGTTTTCCCACCAGTATCATTCCATCACTGCTTGACAGTAGGCCCATTTGTGGACACAGTTTCATAGAGACATGTAGTCTCCCCCTTTTTCAACAACAATAAAAATTCCATTAATACAATTAATTTTAATGTTTATTATCTGTATTACATTATACATGTGCAAGATGTTTAGCAGGGAAACATTTATACAGTATGTACAAAACATAATATGTTGGAATGATGTTTAGTCAGTGTCATTCTTATAGATTTCCATGTTCATATAAAACCAAGTTTGGGTGCAGATCAGTTTCTCAATGAAGAAGATTTAAGAAGTGATCACTTTTGATTAATGCATTTATTATATTATAGTGGGAGAACTTTATTCATATTCAGGTCCCATAATATGCATTCAATTTTAGCTCTATGACTGTATTAACTGGACAACTGGCTTGATTCCTGACAAGGGCATGAGGTTTCTCTTCTGCACCACATCTACACTTTCTCTGAGGTTTACCAAGCCTCCTATCTCTGGAGAGTAAAGTTGCCACTCCCTTACAAACATTAACTAACATTAAGAATGTGTGGATCATTGTCTCCATTCTTACATATATCTTCATGGCATGATACTTAATTAAACACAGGGATAGTTTTGTCCTTTACCCATGAAATAATTGCTCTACTGGAACCAACAAGCATTAATTGAAAATGAGTGTTCAAAAAGGGTACAAACTTCACAACTGCTTGTTGTATCACATTTAATTTGGTAAGCTGGTTCCAGCTAAGTAGTAACATCTCGCTAGTGTCATAGGTTTCTTTATACCTGTTGAGGCTGAAAAATTAAGAGCGGAAAAACATAGTCTGGTACCTACACTTAGAAATAGTAGCAATCTTTTTTTTTTATTCATGTCCACACAGAATCTTGTGGTATGCACATGACAATTTTCTTACTGTTGCCTTTGTTTGGGCAGTTAACTAATTTCTGTGTGTGTAATATATTGTGCATTTTGTGGGGTAAGAACATACATACCAATGAATCAAAAACGAACTGGAAAAAAATGTTATATAAATTTTTCACCAGTATGGTTATTTGATTCATGGTGCCCTCATTCCTGAAGCGGCCAGCATATGTAAAAAGTGTATTGCACCAAAGTCTCCACAAACACACCATTGTTCTGTCTGCAACAAATACATTCTCAAGATGGACCACCACTGCCATATCCTTAATTGTTTATTCTTGGTTTATTTAACCAAGCTTAGTTTTCCTAAGTTATATAGTATTGGATAATAGGTGATTTGTAAATAATGAATTGGAAAGTATGTGGATGGAAGCAGTTTGGCTTTATTCATGGTACTGTCTTTACATTTACTTAAAGGGATTAAGGAAAATTGAAAACCTCATTCAGGAGAGCTGATTTCTAAGATTTAAACATTAGACTTCCCATTTAACTCCAGTGTTTGGTTCATATTGCATATTGTGTTCACACATATGCCAATATGCTTGCACTGATAAGCACCACACCAGACATTTTCAAATTTGCATCAGGATATACCAGGTTTTCTACATAATTCTAGTCTGGTATTATATGTAATGCTTCTTTTTCCTTTATTATCAATAAATAAAATGAAAGTAGTAAGACTTGATTTTTTTAACAGGGACTGGCAATGTTTATTTGCTACTCTTATCCCTAGCAAAATTAAGATAAACATAGTGCTATATGAAATCAGAGTTTATTCTATTGCTGTGTTTGGTTATCATTATACCGTAAAAAGGAAGATGTTTCGAAACCTCAATCAAAGCCTCCGACAGACAGACCTAACAAAGGACCAAATGGAAAAGGAGAACTGAGGAGGCCATGGACCGAATACAAACCGGAGAGTCATAGAAGAAGAAGTAGCTTTGTTTTTATTTGTGAGATTAATGGCAACAGTTGAGATTGAACATGCAGCACTTCAATAATGGACATGTATGCTACAGGTTAATATTCAAAGAATTATTGGTAAAAATGCAATATGACATCAGTTTACATCTATCCACAAATAATTACCCATGCCCAAAGAGGAGATAGTATTTGAAGTACTGCAACAAAAACCCACCTTTATTTGTGTGGCAAATTTGCTGCTGCACTCTTCTCTTACCAGATCTACTTGACAGCAACTGATGTTTCCTCCTAGCAACAGTCAACAGCAGATTATGACAGTGGATACATTTTGAAACAATAACAGACCAGCACGGGTGATCAGGTCTCGGTTATTCATGTGTCTAAATGGAAAATAAGCAAAGTTACCTTATACAACATTGGAAAGATACTGATTATTTCATACATTCATTCTGCAGTACAGGATCTAAATGTTACATATCTTACCTTGTATTAACGCTAATAATTTAAATGAAAACATAAAAGTTTACCGAGTAGAATGCGAAGTTTATCGTATTACCCTTTGTACCCTGGATAAGATTCTGAGTTTTCAGACTGGCTATCATGCAATAAAGACTACTTACCATTGAAGTGCAGATATTTCTAGAAATACCAGATTCTTTTCCCACAAAGTACGTATTATGTAAAAGATCAATACTGAAATTATCTGAAAGTTAAGTTAAGAAAAGAAATGCATGTAAATTTATGGGCCCAAAATCCTCTTGTGACGAGGCAAGTTGGGAAAACTCAATATATAAATGGAATGCTAATATTAAAAATATGAGGACTGAAAAGTGGTGAAAATTTGGACTGTGCTCTAATGGATTATGATGTAGGGTCCAACAATGTTATGATGAGGATATCTGAAAAGTTAAGAAACTTAACAATTGGTTACAGCATGTAGAATATACATTTAATTAAAATGCTAATATAGATCTGTACTTAAAATTTGGCATGCATATTCTAACTATAATGCAACTTACCAACAGCTGATGACTGTAACTGTACTGTAAGGAGTCATTCCATTACATTCCAATGTTGGCACACAGAGGGAGCAGGTATAGCTGCTATTCATTCTCAATCTTGGCACTAGAAGGGGCTATGTGGTCAGCAGTACACCCAGACACTATTTACCCCCAGAAAAGGACCCCAGTACCCACTGGACAGGAGAGCCAGTCTGGATGCATATGCTACAAGAAAATTCTCTGCCTGTCAGGGATTGAAA